TGGTGCGTTTATAATGGTCCCCGAGCTCGCATGCGTGGTACGTCCATATTAGTGGACGAAACCATTGCGTGAAACTGACCGGAGAAGGCAGACTCAAGCACTAAGGAAATTTATCGCTAAAACTCTGCAACAGTGCCAGAAAGCTCTACAGCTCCATCGGTAAGCTCAGCAGAGTGCGGTGCGAAATTCCGATCCTACATGCCGCAGATGGTATGGCTTTAACTACACACGTAGCTGCTCACGCGCTTCAGCAGCAAATCATCCGCACTTTCCAGAGTAAAACGTCACCACACCCGCTGTTGATGCATCTCACACCGTCCCAGGGGATAAGTCATTGCATCAAGCGTTCACTACTCTCCTGGCACAGTGGCATTGAGGACTGACGCTGTAACATCGCCGCACCATTAGCTTGGTACTTTCAGCGATGCCTTGATGCGAAATAGGTTCCCGTCATGTGGAAACATGGGACAGTCCCCCCAATTTACAAGAGTAGCAGTCGTGTGCAGCTTTTGAACCAGTGCAATAATTCTCTCGGTGTTATCAGAAATTATGAAAGGTTGTGTCGGACACTGATAGAGTAGAGCGTAGGTCAATCCCCAACAATGAAGAACGAGCAGTGCCAGTGCACGAAAAACCGTAGTTTATTCTGAGAGCAGGACGTGAACCAACGCGGATGAAAGAATTCACACTGTACAGCTTCACTAGCTGAATGCGCATTCGATCATGGATACTGAGTTCAAACGAACACCGGTCTGTCGATCGATATCCTCCAGAGGCGTTAGGCATAAGCCGGGTTGATCTTGGGCTCGGCTCGTTCGGGTTTGTGGGGTAGCTGGTTGGGTGAACGCAATGCAAGTGCTCCGCTGGTTTGCGCTCGAGAAACCGTACACTCCTAACAAAGGTGTTACCGCAGGATCGCTAACGAGATGTCTCGAGATTGTTAAAATCATGGTGTCACAGCAACACTGATTCTGCCGAAATATTGCAAGTGCTATATTTGCAACTTTCTAAAAGTTTCGCGTTATCGGGATTGTGCTTTTCATCTGACATATTCCTTTGACATTGCCAGTGCGCCCACTCAACACACCACGTGATCGATATTCGATTATGGTGCCTTCACACAGACGTCAAAACAACCGTTTCCCGGTGGCGCAGCATAGGGGGGGGTGAGGTGGAGCGGGACGCTCCGGGCGACATGAGACGGCGGCTGCATTTTTAGTATTATCAATTTTCCGAATATGAAGAGCAAAATATTCGGACAAGCTGACGGTTAAATATTTCAATGTTAGTTTGCATGATCAACAATATTCTTGTGCCGTATCATAACTGTGCGAACATTCATCCCAGCGATCACCTTACTTGCCCCATTGTGGTCACTTTCACCTTTCACTTTCCATCGAAAACTAATGTGTCCTTTACCCTGAGCTGATTGTGTGGCCTTCACTCGCCTATACTGCTTTCAGTCAGGGTGAAAATTTTGACACCGCCCCGGGCGGCAAAAGTAGTTGCTAAGCCACTGCTTATGCCCTGAATACACTAGCACGATGTAAGCGTCCGAGCACGCGATAAGCATGGGTGATTGTGGAAGTCTCACACCATCTCACACCCATTCACAATCTGCCAAATGTATGCAGCAGCAATACGCACTACACTACTGGATGGCAGAAAAACCGACTCGCAATTCCACGTCAACGCTATCCGTTGGTGAACGCATCGCCGCAACGGACCTGACCTGGACCCAAGATCATTACACATGAACAAGAGATAAGTCCGTCACGTATTAGTTTCTAACACCTGATTTTGGATCGGCTATTGAAGTATACAGCATTCATGCACATTAATGCTCAAACAAGCTAGAGGGAATTTGTCGTTGCCAGAGTAAAGTGAAAGTCGTACACCAAAACCTCTCAACACCGTTCGATAGCCTGAACCACCGTATTCCCCTCCACAAGCTTCGAAGCCATGTAATCAATGATGCTATGCTGGGTTTGATAAACAACATCCTCATTCAAGGTTAGCTGAATGTGGGAATCCGCAATGCAATTTCCGACCGAATTACAGTCCAGTGTGATGTATCTAAAAGACCGATACTTGTCTCAAGCATATTCCTTGTCTTAATAGGCCATCATGCTAGTGCATCCTAGTCGAACTTCCTACTAGTTAGAAACATTTTCAAGATCTAGCATGATAACAAGAGATTAGACAACCACATCGCACTGTGGAGAGAACTAGACAATACCTATACATGGTCACCCGAGAAACTGCTTCATTTCAACGTGACAAAGTGCAATCTTTTGAGCATACGCAATCAAAGTACCCACGAATATCGACTTGGCAAACAACAGTAGTAATGCACGACACAGTAAGCGATCTCGGAATTATTGTGTGGAATTATTGTGACTTTGGTTGCTCAAAATAGGTCAGAATGCCATCGAAAAGAACCACTCAGTGCCTTGGTCTCCTATGGATGGGGTTTGATAAGCAAATGCTGAGCGTCTACGTGAGGCCTCATGTGGACTAGGTCATTCACACGGCGTCCCTGAAGCAAACACGATGTTTATGCGTTTGAAGCTCCAAAACCTAGGGCGTTTAAAATCATAGTGGCTTGTTTCACCTGCCTTGCCAACTCAGTCTGCAAGTTATTTCACCGTATAGCAGTGAATATCGATGTCCTCGAAGAGATGTTATCATGGCGCACGTAGTACTGATGGTGTCTAACCACGCTTGACACGATCTTTTGGAACTCTGCCACACTACTCACCTGAGAAGTCGCCAGCTCAAAATTGTCACGCATTACATTCTACTTGATTGCCGACAAAATCGTTTCCCCCTCAGAGTATACATTGAAATGCGACGCTATTCTATCTCACGTCAGTTTTGCCAATACATTAGCGGTTTTCAGAAGACTGGTTGAAGACACGCTAATCTGCATTGCCTGCCATATCGCTTTCAATCGGCAGAGGAAATAAGGTAAACTAAATGTTTTGTTTACCATTTGCCTCCGTGAAGTGGCGATGGAGAGATCTGCATCTGCGTACAGGTGAATTTCTTGGTGGGTCATCTAAAACTCGGGTTACCCACTTTTTGCTATCATTGTTATCCTTGGCTTAGTAATCCTAACTCCGGTTATTCAATGGGACTTGTCAGGGACTCATTGTAAATATTTTCCAATAATTCATTGCATATCCAATGCATTCTCAGTATTCTCCTTAAAATGCCGAACCTGATAAGTGATACCTCGTGCGATCATTCTGAGGCGCTCAGAGGGTTCGATTTCTAACGGCTTTACTATAAAAGCTGCATTGTGGAAGTAAGAAGTCTTGCACCTGTCACAGTCTCAGTGGCGCAGCTAACATTTGTCTCGATATGCCAGAGACAGGGCATCTATAGCTGATTTCTTTCCATTAGTGGCTTCTCGCTCAGAGAATATAAAGAGGCATTGTTACGATTTGCTAAGGGGACGTAGTAGGGATCGGTAAATTGTCAAATTCTGAGCGCCTAACCTCCAGGGTATTGCTTGCTCATGCAGAAATGTTGTAAAACCATTGTAGCTGGTCGTTTGGGCGAACGAGCCGAGACTACGCTGAGGCCAGTTATTCGTTGCGAGCACTAACCGATCACGATTGTACGAGCCGGTGACGAATCGGATTTGGCTCACTTTAACATAAACAAAGCACAGGCTATCCACAAACGAAGGCGAAGGGGACCGCATCGAACAGCAACGAGCGAACGGAGCGGGTGTGTCGATGATCTCATGCTAACAACAAGGGATGCATTGATGCACGGAGCAACCAGAGGTTACTTGTAATCGGAGAAGAGAGCGAATCAGGTGTCACACACTAGAGTTGGCTATAGTTTTAGGTTAGATGGACAGTGCAGAATTGGCACGACCGAGCGTGACGCGACTTAATAGTCGGACAACTCTGGTAAAATCAGCTTTTGTATCGACTAATCCGTGACAGTTGTGCTGCTGTATTGTACTTTAAACCGTTTTACCTGGACCAGCTTGGGGACTTATTTTTATCTGAAGGCCTAATTTCGCGAGAAACTTCTTAGATGATGCACACACAGCCATGCCTGCATTAAGTCGAGGTGGCGGCTGATCAAACTACATGAGGAATTTTGTAAATTGCTTCTGCTTTAAACTACTCTGGAAGATGAATATGCAAAGAACTACCTTTGCGCATAGTGGGCGGAATACAGCGAATTCCAGCTGTCATTGGTATTCCCGTGCTAGAGGATAGTTGAGCGTTGTACCCTAGTCTCAGGTCAAATACCGTTAGCCATGGGGAAAAACCGCAAGAGAGAAGTCAAGGTTTAGTGTCTGAAAACGTGTGAAAGCGCATTACACGGCTGATCCTAGAAAAATCGGTTGACTCAACACGAGTTGAGCATCAAACTTCCCAACATAAAAAGAAAGGATAGAGTACGCCATATTTGGTCAAAACATCACGCTTTGATAGACAGTTTCATTAACAGGAGTCTGAAACTTACTAAAAGGATAAGAAAGCCATGATGAGTCATTCACCGTACCGGTGACCTGTGCACTCGTGGGAGCTCCGGATGGCATAGGCTTTTGTGCAAATAGTACATACCGCCGAAATCCTGCCCAAAATGGTAGAAGACGGCGGAATAACACTGGATATGCGTCCTCAAACAGAGTGCTATTCATGGCAGTCTTCAGTGTAAGTTGGTGGTGAATCTTCTGAATCAAACGAGTGGCCCCATCTGATGACAGCCCGATCTGTAGTAAAGCGAAGCAAAAAACACTACAATCTTGCAAACTGCTGCTGCAGATGAGCGCGAAGGTCGTTATACGCAAACAGCTAGATAAAGTTGCTAAATTACAGTTCAGCACATATATAACGATGACATAAGGATTTAATGTCACAAAATAAACATCGGTCCCTGTGAACAACAACGTTCTTATTGAAAAGAAGGTTGCTGATCGCGGAACTCTCTAGCTTTCCACGTTTTACCTGTATTATGGGTGGAAAATCTGAACCTAACCTAATGCTCCTAGTCCATTCTGGTCATCGGTGCGATCTGCTAGAGGACATGAGACTGCTTGTTGGAGCTTTGACCTCAGCCGCACACAAACACACAATGGAGGTCACAGTTGGATCCTTCGAGCAATTGCACCTTGCGCTGAGTAGCCCCCTGTCGATCATGAGCATTTCGTTGTGTCGGCGCCATGTTGCTAACCGATACCCCGGAGCAATTTATATCTTTTCGGTAAAGGATGGTGTTCGTAGGCCTATACCGCATGCCAACCCCAATACGGGAACGGTTTCGAAATTCGAAACGGTCCGAAAAGGTATACATAAATGAGGGTTCAAACTACGTGCTATGGTGCCGTAACGTTGAACTATATGCTGTCTATGGGAGTCAAGTATGTTACCTCACATCGAACAAATTCAGCACGAAATGTCGTCAATGCAGGCTCATCGGTGAGCACTGCCCATTTTATAAGATGGACAACAAGTTATGAAATTTATATATGCACACGCACAATGCCAATAAATCAGTCATTACTACGATGAGGTAAATAAACATCTCCATTTCATTTTGAATTGCTTACTGAGGCCAGAAACGGAGATCCCTCGTACCAAAATGAAACAATGCAAAGTCCATGCTCATTACCTGACCCAGGTATGTAACAAATACACCCAAAAAGTTCCATAGATATCTCGAGACTTACCTGAACCTGTGGCGGGATAGCAGATTCAAGAAAAGTCAGCAACAGGCAGGCCAGCTTTTGTTTTAACACAGAATTGTGGACTTTGCCATGACACATTTCCTAAAGAAGGAGAGATAAGTTGGTTACGCACTCTACACTTGTAAAAGCCTGATTCTTTCTTTAGAAGTAACTGCAAGCACTGTGTCGAGAATTAACGCAATGTGGGCATAGAAATAATAGCAACAATGGGTTACTCAGTTGCATTGTCGGCCTAGATCTTTTGCGTCGACGCACTCAAACCACTTGAGTTTATCAACCCCGGATAATGCGTGGCAACCTGTGAATGCTGCTCACTTCATACACCGCACACCCAGATCAGTTTTCTTTCCTGAATGGGCTGTTTTTGTGGAGATAGCTGAGGATATATGACTAGAAGCTGGGATTCATAATGTGTTAGCAAACGCTTTCACCGTCATACGCAATCACGTACCTGACTCTGAAGACAAAATAATCCTACCAACCTTTCGCTGTTTTAAAGAATGCAAAGACTACCAAAACTTACCGAACTGGATCCGTTAGGGGAAAATTAGAATTAAAACAAGCATGAGGTAAAAAGTAGAATTTTACAGCTCGGGTGGATTGCCGAGTAGGCGAAAGAAGGGACTTTGGAGCGCATACTCGATAACGTTGTGTAAAACTCCTGGTGCCCTGGGGAATCTCAGTATTTAGACACCATCAGTATCATATAACCACTGGTTGGTTTCTGTATAAGCGATTTTCTCAGCAACGAAAATGTTCGCAGGTGTTCACAGAACAGCTAAGGTAGCTCTCGGATCGGGGCCTATAGAATGCAAGTAGTCAACCAACGAATCAAGAAGTAGAACTCAGCCGCCTAGCTCGTTGGAAGTATCACAGCGACACTGGTTGGCTAGTCTACATGATTCCTGGAAATATCATTGTATACTCAAGGTATTTTATAAAGTGAAAGCATGTTGTCCAAAGATACCACCCAGCTAACCAAAGGCTAGTGGCTAATAGTAAGGAAATAAATTTTAGATGTAAGAAAAACCGTTGGACTAAACTCCTCATTGGAACAAAGCAAATAAATGGTACAACGCCGTATGTTTTACTTCTTTCAAAAATAACCTAATATCACCTGTTTGTATGGCAGGCACTAAGTCGGAAGCTAGGGGGATGTACTCCCAAAATAGACAAACTGGAAACATCACCTTCCCAATGAACTCCGCCACTAATGCCCACACGTCATGCATCTCTGTCCCAGTTCAATGCGCCCAGGTAAATCAGCAAGAGGATAGCCCTACTAGCGGCACACACTACTCGACGGCAAAACCAAGAGTCTCTTTTTAGCTTGGGTCTCAATGTCATTTTCCGGACAAATATACCGGTGTTATTTTGGAATTAACGTGTGTTGTATATCCATAGACAGTACACTAGAGTACATCATTGTAACGAACCTCCGGACATACAGTACAGCTTTTAGTGTGCCAATGATTAGGTTTCTGTTAAGAGAAATTAGATGGCTTAAGTCAACTACATTTCGACCACGCTCAGACCAGCTGACCCTGCCTTCAGAGAAACACTGGATGATTGCCTCCTCCTTCACAGATTTGTATTGCAGTGTATGTTCCTTCGACCTGTCTGGATAGCAGAAAGGATGATGTGATTCTGAAACAAGAGTCTTAAAAATATCGACCACGACGATTTCGGGCGCCTTAGTTGTTTAGATATGTGCTTGCAGTGGCTACCACCTAAAGATGGTCAGAGAGATTTTTCAACCCCTTCCAACATCGACTCACCATCATGGCCATGAATACAAATACTGTGGTCGTATCTGGTGACAGTAATATCATGGCGCAATGTTTTTCGGAGTTCGAATTAGAGTCCGCATTAGAGATACTCCGTTATCAGTGTCCTCCCCACACGATCACTATGCGCACACCGCAATCCATAGCTTAGTTGTATGGCTTTCCATCATGGATACCCGCATTGTTATATATGGCGTGCACTGAAAGCTAAGTCGTAATGGACCGAAGTTTTCATTCCATTAGTTATAGCTCAGGCAAGAATGACAGTTAATTTAGATCATGGGTGTTGTTTCTACTTCCGCTTTAGCGTGCATCTGTGTGAGATCCATGATTCCAGCGTAGGCGCAGCACCGAACCGTCAAGTTGACGTAGCACTGCTTGAACTCATAATCCACGATCCAACGCCATAAAGACTAGCTTACACGTCAGTTGGCATTATTGTAGCCGCGGTTGATGGGGCGTAGAGCTGCCAGACCAGGAGTTTCCCAGCACCGGACAGTGCATTGACTAAAGTTCAAGTCACACGACAAAGGCAAGACAACCGACAAGATAAACTAGAAGAACGTATCGGACAGGCTGCGTCACATGTTCGACGATCTCATACACGGATTGCACAACCAGATCAACTGCAAGTAATCAATGTGGTGGTTCAAGGCGGCCTGACATGGAGCTAGAGCGGATCCACTTGCGTTTGCAATTAACATCCGGGGCTTGTTGGCTCATGCCCTGTCTGAGGTGGACGAAGCGCCATGACAGCAACTAATGATGGCTCAGATCAGGAGCCGATCGCGGAACGTGTCCTGCTTAAGAGCGCCGCCCGCAGAATGCACCTGAAGGAGCTAGCACACGTGACTCTGTGGTGGACGACAGGCAACTTGCTGCGTTGGGAGAGGACCCCGTGAATGCGTGGAGCAGTTAGGCAGGTCCAAGGCCACAGAAGAGTCGAGATAGGTGACATCAGTGCTGGACCCATAATCCGCTGTTTCGGTCCAACTGCCACGCGCCATCAGTAGATTGGTAATACATGCCCAATACTGACGGAATCCGTGTTGCTCCAGCGCTGTGACGTTAGATCTTTCTAAACGACCCATTAGTGCCTCAGCTACCTTTGAGAGCACCGGGAAGAGAATCACTGGGTGATATTTCGCGGGCTCTGAACGGCTATCGCACTTGAAAATCGCGGTAATGATATACAGCTTCCACACACTAGAAACCAGCTGGAAAAAGCGGATTAATCGTTCAGATATGCTTGTAGCTTCCACCTGCAAATCTTACGCGGGTAAATTGTCAACTACGCAGAAACAATGGGTAGGCAACGATGTCAGCTTTCTCAAGATGGTAGTTGAACTATGGGGGTGACAGCTGGGTGAGAAAGCTAAGTACCAACGCTCGCGTGTTTGCCACAAATCGTGCTTGGGAAGGACCATGCAAGCGTGTTGCCAGGGCCCAGCCGAAAGCTGATGAAATCGCGCGTCAGACATCACGTGCGTTGCCATGCACCGAGTAGACGGACGAAGACTGGAGTGCTCGAGCAATACGGTGAACTGGCCAGACGGAGCGGACAAGCATGTGTGGAGCGTGGGCTTACAGCCAAATCCGCCTGGTGATGTTTGAAGGGTTGGTGAGACCGACATATAAATATGAGCGTTCTCTGTCCCAATACAACTCTAGTCTGCTGAGTCTTCTTCTGGCTTCCTTCCGGTCGGGTTTGCCAAAGCGTCAAACAGAGCACCCGTAAGGGCGCACATTTAGCAGCAGACATGAAGCAAGCGGTCGATTGCGGGTGCAGCGTTATAACAGTGGTGACGCGAGTACAACTGAACCTAGAAATAGCAATCAGCTTTGAACAATTGCAGATGCTGTTGCAGCAACAACAGACGCAGTTTGAAGCATCCCGGGCCAAGCTGATCGAGATGCTAACTCAGAAGATGACAGTTGTTATATCGGAGGTAAGAATACTCCACCGCTCCCCGTCGTTTTGTGAGTTTTATTCCACTCATCCCTATTCACCCTGTCCTCTTTTACGGTTCCCCACATACGTTTCTATTGCTTCACCTTTGTGACTAGCTTGGGTTGACACTGAATCTTATGCTTAATGGTTTTTCCCTTACTCTGTACATTTCGTTCGTTCGTGCGACATCGTATCGATCCTTCGGCCCGGGAATGACTAGCTTTGATTGATCGATCGTCATCCTTTCTGCATAGCCTGTGTACATGCCCTAATTTGAATCATGTCATTGAGTTGCACACACAGACGTTCGGTGGCCGGTTGGGCGTGTGGCGTGAACATTGTTTTTTACCCGGTCGTTCGTGTTCTCACTACCATTAGTGGGTGGAAGCAATCGTGGGGTTCCGACACAACAACAGTACAGTCAAGCCCAGGGTTAGGGACAAGTAAAAGTGCTCCCTCAACAGAAACCCTGAATCAGTAGATCAGTGAGTTCCATTATGACGCTGATGCCGGTATAACATTTGTTTCTTGGTTCCCCAAGTATGAAGAGATGTTCCGGGTTGATTTTGCCAACCTTCTAGCGGAAAAGAATATTCGACTAATGCTGCAGAAGCTGGGTGCTGCCGAACACGAGAAGTTCATCAATTCTATGTTACCTAAAAAGAGTACCGATTTGTCCTTGACGAAGTGGTTGTAGTCCTGTCGCAGATTTTCGGAGAGCAGACATCTTTGTTCAACACCAGACACAAATGTCTGACAATAAGGAAAAAGAAGACGAAGACCGGGTCGACCATTCCAGCCGTGTGAATCACGAGTGCGAACGGTCACTACCCAAGATGACAAGGGATCAGTTTAAATGTCTCATATACGTTTGTGGCCTACAAGCATCCAAAGACGCCGACATTCGAACACGAATACTGAACAAAATTGAGCAGAATCCGGATGTCACATTGCAGCAAGTGACCGGTGAATGCCAACGCATGACGCATCTGAAGCACGATACCGCAATGATTCAGCAGTTGTCCAACCAGAACGATCAAGATTTTGTCTGTGCAATCAGCCGTACTCCCCGAAAAGAAGCTTCCCACTTGAGTTCACCGCATCCTAAATCTCCCAGTGCATGTTGGTTTTGTAGAGAGTGGCATTTTCCCCTTGAGTGCCCATTCAAAACTCACATTTGCAACCGTTACGGCAGAAAAGAGCATAAGGAATCACGCTGCCTGGCGACTCGTCCAATTTTGACCAAAAAGATGCGTAACAATGCCAGACCATTCCGGCGTCCCAATTTGACCAAATCTATCACCGCAACGTTCAAGGTTGACGGGGCCAGCAAGCGCAAATACACAATTGTGAAAATCAACGGCTTCCAAGACGAGTTACAAATCGACACGGCTTCAGATATCACCCTGATATCTCGCGACACTTGGTGCTTGCTGTGGCGACCGACACTCATACAAAGGGACCACACTGCACGGAAGGATTCAGGAGGTACGTTGAAACTGTTTGGTGAACTGAATTGTCAGGTAAACTTCCGCGATAAACAAATCCAGACATGTTTCTTGACAGATCAGCCGGGGTTAGCTTTGTTGGGGCTCGACTGGATGGATGAACTGAAACTGCCTGATCAATCAGTGAACAGAATATGTCAGCCACCGCAAGTCGATCTGCTGTCGCAGCCATCACCTTCAAGCCCGATGTTTCGAAGTCAAATTACTGAGCTAAAACGACTTGACGATGCATTGTTACAACCTGGTCTCGGATGCTGCAACATAGCTACTGCCGCCTAAAACCTTAAACCAGAGGCCAAGCAAGTCTTTAGACCAAGACGCCCGGTGCCCAACGCAACCCAGTCCTTAGTGGAAGCCGAGTTAAACCGACTACAATCTGAAGGTACAGTAGAACGAGTTCATTATTTAGAATGGGCAGCACCTATCGTGGTGGTAAAGAAAGGAAACGGTCAGAATTCTGTGTTGGAAGATCATCAGTATCCCCTGCAGGTACCAGGAGAGTTGTTCAGCAAACTCAATTGGGGAATTTTTCGCAAAACTTGACCTAGCTGATGCGTATCTGCAAATCCCAGTTGCCCATCAGTGCAGAACATTGCTGACAGTAAATACCCACCTCGAACTTTTTCAGTACAACCGGTGATGGGGCGGTGCTGGGGTAGTTAAATTGAAAAACAAAAGGCTCTGTCCAGCGCCCCAAGCTCCTGTGTAAGTTGGTGATCTTTGTTCTGTCTAACTCACAAATTGTTTGCCTGACATCATGTGATTTGCGACCGGTGGCGCGAATAAGGTAAAAATAAACGGTGGAAGTTTCCAGCCGATGCAGCTCCTTCCATCTCTCCAGCTCGTTTTGACCATTAGGATTCACGGTCAAAGCGAAGGCTTGACTTAAGCTGTTGAGAGATGGATAGACGGAGTTCATTGATTTCCACAGCTGCGGGCACAGCCCGTCGACGATCTAGTAGCTTCGAGGACCTAACCCAACTCCAGCTTTTAGTTGTAGAGTGGTTAAGGCCACAGGTGGATTAGCCGGCGGACAGCATGGCTCTTTGGAAACTTGACCAGTGTTGATCGACATCCAGAGTAAGCGAGAGAGCGGGAACTTCACGGAGCCTCTGTTGATAATGCATTTTCACCGTTGGGTCCTCCATTGTAGGTGTTCAGTCGGGTTTGCTTGGGCTTAGTTGAGCCATCGAGACACATGCAAACTGTTGCATGCATCAATGCATGATCAACCTCAATGCACAAGATTGGCTCTAGGCAGGCCTCGACCAAACCACTGACCAACTGGTCTCGGAAGTGGTCATCATGCCGCGTCACGTGAATGTTGGCAGATTCAAACTCAGAGGTTAGTTGTGACAACCTTCTGTCCCGTCAACCTTGTATGGTGAACCACGAACAAATGCATAGCGCTTTGCTAGCTTCTATGTGTGGGTGTGCTTAAAGAACAGGTCGCAATGGGACACGCAAACCGTTAATTTATCTGAACACAGAGAATCCCATTTTCCATATTTTAAGCTGATTGCTCGCAACTTGGGTTAATTTCCATGTTAAGCAGAAGGAAGGTCAGTCACACCTTGTCCGGGCTGCAGCTGCACAATGGATTCCATTGGACGGGTTGGTTCGAAGAAAATTGCGTATGTTTAGGATCCTGTTAACGATAAACCATTGTCAGTAGTAAGCATTTCTGTTTGTTACAAAACGCACTTGCTTTCTGCACTCATACCGGTCTAAGAGCTGATAGAATCGCAAGCCCATGAAATAAGTCTAGGCAACAATTTTCATACAATCTGCGAGGTTTCTAGTGGCTGCAGGCGTGAAGATTAAGCTGGCCTTAGTTGAGTTGTGTGAATACCAGGATGGGCACACCACCTAACGTACCAGGACCATAACTATAGACTGTCCAAATGCAGGCACAGATTTACCTAGTTGGCTTTGAAACTATGGTTGATATCCGACTGAAGAGAATGTAAAATTAGTTTTCAAAGCTGCCGCAAAATGCCAATATTTTGTGGTCATGGGCAAGCGTGAGATAGATGGTAGCTAACTAACTTGAAATCGCACAAGTTCAAGTTCAAAGATCAAGTTTTGTTCGAGCATCGGCAGATCGTCTTGGTAGCTGCAACGAATGAGATATTGATAGAACAGCACAATTTGGAAAGTCAAGGGCATGAGGCTGCAGGACCGAAGAGCCGCTTCCAACGTGTTTCTATCTTCTTCGGTTGGACGCACACGAGAGACGAAATGCTGCAATTGAAACGAGGAATCATGTGTTCAGAGGGAACTTATGGACGGCTGGGTGCTAGGAGGAAAATTTCACTCTTTTATCATAACAAACGTGCTACATTAATAAGCGATAAAGATACTACTGTGCACTGGAGGGTACCCAGCAATATCTCCGGGCTCATATCAACAAGACAAAACAGACAAAACACGTCCCGTATATTATGAAAGGACGTTTCTAGAGTCGTTCGGAGAGTCAAAATGAGTAACATCGTAGTAATTGTGAGTACGTACTCATGAGTCTAAGCTACACAACGTTTCAGTCTAGCCAGAAGGTAGATTTTGGAAAGAACCTTAGCAATGACCCCCGGATCGTCTCGTCGAGTATGCGCTGCAACAATTAATTTGAAGCGATGCTTGCATTGGTGTACTACATGCACTATTACGGGAGTTGTCCGCAATGGAAAAACGGCCTAGTAACAGCAAACGAGAGGGGTCTTTACATGCCCCGTTAAGCGTTACGAAAGGAGCCCACGAAATATCAACATCGGCTTTAAGGAGAAAAATACATCGCGGTGTTTTTAAGTATCACGCGCGGCAGTCATGAAATTTGTATATCTTGTCAACCTAGATACGGTCAGTGACAAAGATAAGAAAGTAAGAGTCTGGCAATAGGTCGCTTTGCGATGTTATGTTAACATACCAACTCAGCCAGGCCATTTCATTTTGGAGGCAAATTCTGGGAACGGCTAGTGTCGTGGCAGAGAAAACTGTTGCTGGTTGAGTGTTCTGAAAGACATAAGTTTCTGTTGCTGTACAAGATGCTCTGTACGTTTTCCTTGCTTTGTTTTTCATGTGTTGATCCAATGAACTAGAGGCCCGAATGGCAGATGGAGGTGTCAATAGTAGGTTTTACAGTGTCTTAGCGACCACAGTCGATCACAGCAAATGGAGCAGTGGAACACACGATCATTGTCAGAAAATCATACTTACGGCTTGGTCACGTGCAGAAATGTGTTCCGCGTGTGAAGCCAACAGTGCGGTCAGTGCATCCTCCGACATTTTCAACAGACCCTCGGGAGATATTTTAAGCAGCCCGGATAAAATCTGCACGGTGAAGTGGAGAAGGTACCTCAAAGTAGAATGGAGAAGAAAAGGCTTCATCGCGAACAGTGCGGTATCCTGTTTTCTTCGACTTTTCAGAATACTGTGACTTTCAAGTTTCGAAGGATATGAAGACCATCGGATACATGTGCCATCTATCTGACAGAATATCGTATCTCGATTCACTAAGCATATGTTACCATGTATGGAGAACTGGGCATTGTTCCAATAGACGCTGTGGAATCTGATCAGCGCGCATTTGTTGGCGTCCAGCGAAATTGCACGGAAATGCTATGCGGTAATTCCTCAACTATGTTTCAGAGAGTGGTGTGATAAACTTGGAAGTGATCCAAGCTGACTTCCTAGAAAGAACCTGAACCTGTGTTTTGTTTACAGAACCAAAAACCATCGTTTGCACAGTTCAGACAACGATCTACAGACATTTTCAGACATTAGATAAAGGGTACTCAACAAGGAAACAAAGGTCACGATTCTACTACGAGATGCAGGGAAAGTTTCTTTCTTATACACTACTCAGGTTCGGGACAGACTTCCAAGAGCTACCAGAACATGTTGCACACTGCGTTAATTTAAGCTTGCGATTGATGAACAGATAACCGTACAAAAGACGATTAATGTGTTTGGGACATCACAGTTCCTGGGTATGATGGTTGAA